TCCATCCCTTCTCGCCAGCGTCTCATTATGGAGCGCTCTGCTCACAGCTCACACAGGTGCCCTTTTTGGATTTGTTGGCATGAAACATATTCCTGTGTGTATAGATATAAATACTACCTATTTCTGTGGTACGAACAATTGGGAAAATTAAATCGATTAAGTCTAAAGAAACAGTTCCCTTTTGCAGTATTACTACCAAGGCGGACAAAGGTGGGGACATACCAGCGGCAAGCAACTCATCGAGAAGGTGATTATACTCTGCTCTCTCTGCAACCTTCTTGCGGATCCTGCAAAGAACCCGCACACAAAAGGACACCGCATTCAGTGTCAATATTTTGGAGGGGGAAGGCACGACGAGCCGTTTAATGTATAATGGAAATCTCTTGGCAAAACAATTATCCCCGTACAGAGATATAGTTTATACATACAGCATTCGCATACAGAACGCAGCTCTGTCATCAAAGCGTACTTGGCTATGCGAAGAGCAAAGTCCTTTTCCAAGACCGACACTCTTTGTTGAACCTGTTCCTCGATGGTGCGGGCCCACGTCGCTTCTGCCTCAGCTCTCTCTGCAGATTCCCGCTACGAAAAGAAACAAAGGGTAGAAGCCATAGGAGCAGTTTAGTCGGAAAACGAGTAGAGCCCAATGTATATCTCGTGAAGGAACGCGTACCTCTGCTTGAGCTTTGCATGCAATCAATTCGGCGTCCTTCTTCCTGCAGCATTCCTGTAGCTCCCTCTGTGTCAGCTGTAGAGACTGAGTATTACGTTAGACACACACCATTCCTGATTTTAGAGGGCTTCATTCCCTTGCACTACCAACTCAAGGGTGAAGTATCATATGGTAATATCCAGTGAAACTGTCCCCACTAGCCCGAGTTACAGCACCTGGGAGATGTTCGCCTACCTGCAAGAGCTTTCTGCAGCTTGCAAGTTCCTGCTGCTGACGGCGGACTTCGAGGTTATCTCTCTGCCTTTTAGCAGATTCGATATCATGATGTCTTTTCATTTCTTCCAATTTCGCCTCGAGGGCTGCACACTTCTCAGTCAAATCCTATGGGAGCAACATGAAGAGAAAGACTGGCATAAGAAAATGCAATCGTTGGAACGAAAATGTCAAGGTAAATCACGCTAATTGTCGCATATGAATAGAGCCATAACCCTCCATCACATTTGCGTATAGCTCTGCTGTTCCAGTTAAATTTGTTGAGGAGGCGGAAGGGTAGGGTTCCTTTTTCTTTCCGTGTCCTGACTGAAACCGAAAACCCTTAAAGGCCGGCTAAGGATCTAGCGTACTTTTTCTTTCGCCGCTCCCGTTGCAGCTGCTATTGCTGTTTGTTTCTGTACGCATAGAACGGTACCCAATAAGAATAGTCCCGTTATAATTTATCTCAGCGCACCGCTTTTTTCTCCCAAATTGGCTATCGATCATGTGCCTGCGGGTCATTTCTGTCCTGAGGCGTATGATTGCCAGTTGATTCTCAGGTGTTCTACACTAGCAAGCTGAAGACGCGGCAGCTGATGCAGAAAATAGATATATCGCAAAAACTCGTTCAACCTTGAACAGAGCATACTTGCGCCTCTTCTAGACGACAACAGAGCTGCAACAGACCCGGCAGAAAGCGCATTCGGTTTAACCTGTGTGTAGATAGAACGAACTCCCTCTGCGTTTAAGCGACATAGGAAGTACCCAAATGGCCCCGAATGGCAGAAGCTGTTGCTCGCATACCTCTTCGTTTCGCAC